TCTCAATCACGCACGATCACGCGTGATCGTGACCGTGATCGTGATCGTGATCATGAGATTCGCGATCACGCAAAACACTAATGGTCAGTAATAATTTCTGATAAAGATAGAATTGAATTAGGACACCTCTATTTCTTACCAAAACCATATAAAGTAAGATCCTAGCTATCCGATCTTACTTGGAATTTTGTTTTTGAAAATATTTTTCTTTGATAATTACTAGATTGGTACACCATTGAGACCTATAATTTCTTCGATGAATGGTCCCACAACTGGTGCATCACATTTTTTGGATCGTCTTTTACGACCTGTCTTTGATCGTGTAGCCAAGCAAACGACATTTGTCAATGGCATTGATCTTGTATGTCAGTGGGAAAACTATCGAGATAGTGGTCATTTATTAGCATCGACTCAATTTGTTACATTTGATGTGAGTGATTTATATACGATGATACCACGAAACGGAGCACTTGAAGCATTAGGACGATTTCTTGTGCAAAATTCGACTAGAGGCAAAATTAATAATATATCAGTCGATACAATCTTGAAGTTAGCTCGTCTAGTATTAGACACAAATTATTTTGTCTATGATAATAAATACTATCGACAAATTAAAGGTGGAGCTATGGGTTCACCATTTACAATGACATTAGCAAATGTCTACATGCTAGAATGGGAGCAACCATTGATCAAATCACAGCTCAGTCAAGGAGAACTCTATGGAAGGTAGGTTATATCCAGATTTATAGTCATCTATAATACATTCAAATATTATACCTATTGTTACTACAGATACATTGATGATGTGTTCATGACATCAAATATGTCATTGGATGCAATTCATGCTGAGCTTGATTGGATGAACAAGAGAGATGAAAAAAACATTCAAATCACGTATTCAGTTGGTTTCCAAGTCGAATTTCTTGATGTTCATGTCGAAAATTACCATGGTTCATTGATAACATCAGTTTTCCATAAGCCAGCTGCTGAACCATATGTCTTACCATATTCATCTGATCATCCTCGTCATATACATACGAATATTCCATATCAAGCATTATTACGTGCTGCTCAATTATGTTCTTATGTATATGCATTTGATAAAGAGCGATTAGAAATTGAAATCATACTATTATTAAATGGTTATCCGCCGCAATTTATTAAACGTCATTTCAATCGATTCTTTCGATTAAATCGAGCTATGCAAGTGTTAACTGAACTTGATCCAAAACAATATGAAGAATTACATCAAAAACTATTATACTTATCAACACGACGTGAAAAGATGTATGAAAAAAGAACAAGTGATAAGAATAATAATGAACAAGTATATAAGAATGATAATGCCAATAAACTTACAAAAAAAGAATGGAATAAGAAGATTTTAATCTTGCCTCATACATTTGAAAGTGGTCCATTGATGGAATTTAAACGAGAATTTCGTAAATTATGGACGAAATCTTATACCTACAAAGGATCACTAATGAAGGACGTTCGTCTGGTGATGACAACACTATGTAATCCATCGTTGAACGATTTACTCGTTTATAAAAAACCTTCTCGATCTTTATTGACCAAAATGGAACCATTAATATCGGCATCATCACTATCATGAGAAAAACAAGAAGATAACTATGAACAAGAGTGATGCAAATCTTTCTCTTATCATATATGTGTTTGTTTATGTCTATATAATACATTTTTCTAGTTTGTCTGTTCGCCTCTTGGTGCTACTATATATGACAATTGATATACGTTTGTTTTCAACTAGTAGAAATAAAGTTTTCAACATAAGATAAGATAGATGATTTGATCTATATATTTTGTGTCTGTTTCAGATTTTATTCCGAGGGATATTAAAAAATTCAAGATGCCTAGCCGAAAAGAATTATCTCGTCGACAACGGTCAGTAAAAAGGCTATTAGATGATGTGCTTTCGCCAAAGAAGTCACCACAATCAAAATCTACCAGTTCAGAAAGTGTGAACGAAGAAGACACACAATGCGCGCCTTCAAGTGAAGTAACTAGTTGCTCATCGTCGAGGCTAAAGCGATATGAAGCAGAAGTAAAGACGTGCAATGAAGGAACATTGTCACCATCACCTGATCTAACTTTGACGACAAGTCAACAATCATCTTCAAGGGAGCTACAATCAGCAGCAAAAGAAGACGAAGTAAGATAGTTTTGGATTTAACATGAATTTGAATCAATTATTTGATTTTTCCATAAGGAGGCTAAGCTACTTAGCGCGAGCAGTCAATTTTTCTATTCGCCGATGTATCGACGATATTTTGGCTTAACACCACCAAATCTTCGACTGTGCAATCCACGATCACTTGAAGATTATATTGATTGGTACATTAATGTATACATGGAAGAAGAACTTCCATGGCAATGGGTAAGATAAATGGTGGAGGTTAAAACATTGAATATATAAATATTCGTATATGTTTTGTTCTTCAGATCAATGTTGGTAATCCAGCAGAAAGGGTCAGACAAGGTGAAGAAGAAGCCCAAGAAGAAGCAGAAAAATTAGCTATTAACTCTTCGACTTCTCATCATACAAAAAATAAATGACACGTGATCGACATGATGATCAAATGATACACAACTGTCAATAAACTTCGTTTTCTTTCCACCTTTGTTCGCGTATTTTTCATTTGATTTTTTTGATTTATACACAGCTACAAACCTATCTGATTCTTCCTAATTGATTTTAGATTAACTGCCTTTGTTACTTCCGTTCATAATGGCATATCCAGAAGCAAATCATGGCCAATATTGTTATTGTGGCCAATGTGGTCTTCCTGTCGCACACGATGACCATGATGCCATCATGTATTATGCATGTGGTCATGTTGAACACGAGGATTGTTATTTCGAACACCACCCTCACAATCTGACTTGTGTTAGATGTGGGGTACAGTCCAACATCCTCGTGTTCAAGTAAGTAAAAATAATTGTTTGGTTTTGTTTTTCCGAATTTGTAATATTGCTTGTATCTCACTAGATGGCCACGAACAACGTCGAAATGGCCATTGATGTCGAATGAACCTAATCCTTGTTACTTGCTTTGTTTTGTTTTGTTTTCCGCTGTTTTTTAAAAAGAAACATATATATTAACGTTCCTGTCAAGTAGTTAAACGAAATCAGAGCAGATGAAACGGAGAAGCTAGGCTCGACATCAGATTGAAGAGAATAAAGATAGCGATTCATTGAATGGACTATTGTAAGAGGAGAGGAGAACTGCGATTGAGATCCAGGATCTACTGATTTTGGATTTCAATCGCTTTTTTTAATCAAAAATGTTACAAGTTTTTAAGTCATAGAACTATGACATAGAGGGTTACAGTAGGATTAGTATCTGACTCGCTGTGATAAGTGAACGTTTCAATTATGCAATACAAAAAGAAGGGCGTAAATAAGGAGTAAAACGAAAGGAGCAAATAGAACAATTCAAACGGATGACGAATAAACATGTAGTCACTTACAAACTCAAGCTGAAGATCAGGTAGCACAACTGGTAGTGTAGCCGACCGGATATCGTGAGTTATAGGGTCGAGTCCAGTACCGATATCGTGATCCTCATCAGATAGTCTTTCGTGCTATTTGAAGCATGTTACTGTAGATCTTTGAAATGATTATTGAAGTTATTCTATATTTTTAGATACTTCAAAAATATCAACTTATTGAAGAATAATGTCACGCATCAGAATGGAAAAATTTATTACCAGATCAGCTACTGGTCAATATATAATCTATTTTAATCCAACGGTAAGAAGAAACGAATGCATAGACGAATATAATTTGAAAACGAGAATAGCCCATTCAAAGTGTATTCAATTTAAAAGATTTCTTCGTTAACAGATCAATGCAATTACTTTTTGTATCTCTCTCTTCTTTACAGACGTACGATGCCACCAATTGGCATAACAGAATATCCCTCATTGAAAATGACAAAGGCGAGGTATGTTTATATTGTACTTTTTATACATCTGTTTATCTTACAGATTAGTTAATGTTGTCATATTTCTATCATTGGCTAACTAACTATTGTCTGCATTTGTAGTTGTTTCTACCATTCTCACGTCGGCGAGTTATTATCGATGTCGACAAGTTCAATGAACAACATCCTCATCAATACATCATCATCAAAAGAGACCACACACCCAATAAATAGTCTACTCATTCCCGTTGATTTTTTCAAATAAATATATGTTGTTGTTGTTGTTCTTGTTCTTGTTGTTATTTCTTTTTGGAAATTGTTTACAGCTAATGATAGACACAGTGAAGATATCGAAAGACGAATTAATATCGAAAATTAATCAATTTGAAATATAACTATAATGTAGTTAAGGTGAAGACAGGACAAGACACATAGATGGCTATAGATAGCCGACCGGTTTAGAGCAGCAAATTGCAGTCGTTAGGTTCTTTTTGTTCTTGTCTAATGATCCTTTCTGCTCAGTGTTTTGAGTTAGACAGAACGTATTTTATAAATCAGCATTTCATTTATTTCGTGAGCCTGACAAGTTAGCTAATTAGTTTGAGTCATGAAAGGTGAGGAGGAGGAGGAGAAAAAAACCGGTCATAGTAGCTCATTCCTACACATTACATCTATTGTTTCAAAAGATACACAAGGATAAATATTCCTTCAATCTTGAACAATATATGGATGTAATTGATGCAAAAGAATGCCATCTGATGAGACCCTTGAGCAAGGTCGAAACCGGGAGTGAGAAATCATAGTCTATTTTCTATGAATAGGCTATCAAATATGCTTAAGCAAAAATAGAAATATATTGGTTGCTTTTCTGATAACAAAATAATTCTGACTGGAATTAATTGAAGCTGTCATCCAAAACATCTATGGTTCAAGTGATGATGATAACTTCTATCAATTCCAGTCATTTTTTTTATCAGAAACTTTCCAGAGAATATGATGTTTGTACGCATAATCAGCAAGATTCATCACAACATGCTGAGATACTTTCAAATAAACTAAACTAGTTCCGAAAATGAATAAGTACTCGTGCAGCAAAAGATTGAGAACGATCTAAAGGATTACTAATGTCCTAGTGCAGTTATGTGACTAGAAGGAGTATTAGATATGTAGTTACTATTGTAACTGAGATGATACTGCAAGTAGCTTAACGGTAGAGCAGCCAACCGGTTATTGGAAGATGTGGAAATGGATCGTCTGGATCATGACGACTCAAGACCCTACAGATGTATATATATGAAGGGATCCTCAAAGTTGAGGAGACTGAATTCAAGCCATCTGATGAGTCCCTTCAGCAAGGACGAAATTCGGACAATGATAGCTCTCTCACTGACTAACGGCAATTATAGTATTCTTGCTATATTGACTACAGAGAGATTTATGTTATTTTTCATCAAAGCTCTTGCCATAGCAAAAGAACAGTTGATTTAATCTTAAAAAGTCTTTTTTAAGATCTAATATCAAAGAGATAAAAGGAATCTATGACTATGACAAGAGCTGATGTCAAGCTATCTGATGACAATTCTTTACAATACAGCATCAAAATCCGGATCATGGTAGCTGTTCTCACTCATCTAGATCACTTATATATGATTAATTATTCTTTTAGAATGAATTTAATAGGTAACGACAACGAATTTCTGATCATTATTAAATATCGACGATTTCCAAATATGAGTTTGAAATATTACTTGTCGACAATAAGAAATATTCAAGTCGATTATACAGTATTATTGAGATTTGGCTTTGATGGGGATCGGATGTTAGGACCATATTATTCTAATTATGAAATGGGTCAATTACTTTTTCCGTCATGTAATGTTAATGACACCAGTTTCATTGGTTAAAATGTTGTCTCATATTTTTGTAGCGATCGATCGATCGTGAAATTGTTCAGCAATATGTCAACGATTACCTTTTGGATTTGAATACCAAAGGTCAATGTCTTGTGATATCACGACAAATATTGGAATATTTTACTTACGCCGAATATGTTGATTCTATGATCGAATCGTAAAGCAACATCTTGATCCAGAGGACTTCGAACTTGTACGATTCTTAGACTTGTTAAAATTGTTTTTCTTTACATCACAGTTCAAACTTATGTCGTTATTTTGATTTACCGACTTTTTATTTTATATTTTAGACAGATACAAATGAGTTTCTAAACAGCGATCATGGTAGCTCTACTCATTTCTGCCTTGAATACTTGCCATTACAAAAGTAGACTTATCATCTTCTTCTTATTCGACATCGAAGAGCTTATATGTCTACCGTAGTAAAAGAGCAAGTGAACCTCAATAGGTCGAGTATTCGGGTCTATCCAGACCTAAGAAGGATTCACTTGAGCAGCGGATGAGTTCAAACCATCTGATGAGACCTTTAGCAGGGTCGAAATCACGCTAATAAGAGAGCTGAAACTCAACGTTCGCATGGCTTTGATAGTATAGTACACTGAAACTAAAAAAAATCCAGGTAGAAGTCATCTTCGGAGTTTCTTCAGCGCAAGAGCGAAGAAAATGGCCATAACGGGTCCAATCACTCTTTTGCGTCGAATAAAATAGATACTCAAATAATAACATTAACCCATTTCAAATCATTAAATGAGATCGTTTAGTGGTGGTCAAAACGAGGTCATGGCAGTTCATTTCTGCACATTACATGTAATCTATTTTAATACAGAAGTATAAAAGTAATCATAAAATGATGAAAACCAAACGCATGTCTATGATGCGAAAGAAAGCCATCTGGTGAGACCCTTGAGCAAGGTCGAAACCAGTGAGCAGCCATCAATTAATCTTTCTGTTCAGTGCCAGCTTAAACAAAAGTACATAGAAAGCAACAAATTTATGCATTCTGCTGAAAAACAGAACAAATGTCATTAGAATCAAAACAAGTGGTTATCTACAACACTTCAGATTTAAATCAACATCGCTTTGAGTAATATTAGGCATCATATATCAAAAGCTTTCCAAAGCATCACATAGTTCACTAAGGACAAAATGATAAAACCATGGATAGTCTCAAAATAAAAATAGTGAGATGATTAGTTCAGGGTGATATCCCCATTAAAACCAACGACCGGTTATCGGAAGACATGGGTTCGATTCCTGTTCTGATTTTGTGATCCTCGTTTGGCAAGTCGTTCGTGCTTGTTGAGGCGCATCTACTGTGGATGCATTCATTCCTGAACGATGTGGGTGTGGGTGTGGGTGTGGGTGTGGGTGGGTGTGTGTGTGTGTGGGTGTGGGTGTGTGGGTGTGGGGTGTGGGTGTGGGTGTGGGT